AGCCTTTTCTCCATCGTATTGTAACGTGTGATGAGAAATGGATCCTGTATGATAACTGGAAGCGTTCTGCTCAGTGAGTGAGTGTGGATGAGCCTCCAAAGAATTTCCCAAACCAGGTTTACACGTCACGAAGAAAATGATCACAGTTTGGTGGATTAATTCACTACGCGTTTCTTCCTCTAGGTCAAACCATCACTGCACAGCCCTATTGTTATCAAATTCACGAGAAGTACACAAAACTGGGGTAAATGCAGCCAGCACTAGTCAATCGCCACGGTCTACTGCTCTTGCACGACAATGCACAACCGCATGTGTCACAAACTGCCTTCCAGAAGCTGAACGAGCTGGGAATCGAAGCTCTCCCTCATCCATTCTACTCACCAGACCTGTCACCAACTGACTACCATTTGTTCAAACATCTGGACAACTTGTTAAAGGAACGAGTATTCAAAAATCAAGGCCACGTGGAAGCTGCCTTTTTCGAGATCTTGGAATCCAGATCTCCGGACTTTTGTAAGAATGGGATAAACAGACTTGTATCACGTTGGCGAAAATGTGTGGAATCGAATGGGGCTTATTTTGAATAAAAATGTTCACCTTGAGATGAGTTATAACTTTTTGAAAGTTAGCTGACAAAACGGCCAGAACTTTCCTTACAACCTAATATATAAGACAGCTTTTCGATTGGTCCCGGTTAATTCAATTGCCGCTTGAAGACAGTGCTCTGCTGGGCAGATCTACTTAGATAGTTACTTAAGGGCACAGTTCACGATAGAAATGGTTTCCGAGGTGAATCTGTTGCGTTCCAGTATACCATGGGAGGCGCTGTCAGATCGGTAAATGACCTAGATAGATCATTGTAAGGGTTCAGAGATTATTTCGATTGAATACCACAGCCATAGTAGACGAGTTCCAACGGCGCAGTAGAGGCTGCAATACCTCGAGGGACTCTCATGTTGGGAGTCCAAACATCTTGTAATAACTCATGGTGGTAGTAGAAGGCAGTTTTAGACCATTTTGGCTCGATCCAGTCAATTCTTTGCGCCATTGCAACTACTGGAATCTCGTCCGAATACCCCTTCCATGCCATTCCCGTAATGGTAATCTCGTACAACTTCTATTCCCACCCCTTCTGGAAAACCTTCATTTATTTTCATTTATTTGTTTATTTATATTTACGCGAAACGAGCGGAATTTCTTGCTTTCCTTGCCCTGCTGCACTACTCTACGTCAAGGCATCCGCTTTTCAACTTGTAAAGGATGCATCAAAATTATCGAGAATTGTGCTTTTAAATGGCATTTCTGATATGTCCTTTTCAGCAGATTACCATTCGCTTAAGGTTACGGTAGATATGAGCTATCAAGGGCTGTCATTCGCTCGGCAGCTGAAAACAACGAAGCAGTATAAATACCACTGGATAAAGTATAGTAACTCATTTCTTTAGCAAGGTTTCGTCACCGCCGAGCTAGGGTAACCTCAACTAGGCCAAGTTTCGGATCAAAGTATCCTTGATCGACTTTCAGCAGATGGGTGACCAATACGAGCCGCTAGGACCAGTTGGTGACGCTCCGCCGCCACCACCACCACCACCAGGAGGAGGAGTAGGAGTAGGAGCATTACCATTTCTTCCACCACCGCCTCCACCTCCACCTCCACCGCCGCCTCCACCACCTCCACCTCCTCCTCCACCACCACCGCAACGGCGTCGGTAAGGTTTTATTGTTCCGCAGGCTATACTGATTTACGAACATAGGCTCTCCTTTGTGATAGGGGGACGGAGCCGAAGCCATCTGCACCGAAACGAGGCTCAGAAAGGCACACTAGTGCCAAAGTCAAGAAGAAAGCTGCTTCAAGAGCATCGTCGACTAGTAGTTCAATGGAACAGCCGATCATTGTAGTGCCAATGGAAGAGGAAGCACAACCGTGTTGTGTAAGTCTCCAAGTTGCCTAGCCGCCTATCGATTATACCTATCCTAATCGACTTGTTGCTGTTTGGGTGTAGTTGAACCGCCCGCTGAGCGCGCATTCATAAGGATGGCTATGGATTTTACGCGGGTCTACTGGATACAAATTTCATGTGCCTGTGCACGAAGGATTGATAATAGGCAGAAAACTTAGCGGCCAAGAGCAGAGCCTACCAAAACGGGTGTCTGTTTCGAGTGCTCAGCGCCGAGCAGGTTCATGGAGAAATCATAAGTCGTGATGGCTCTGAGGATCCTCTCGAAATTACATTTTAAGGTAACTTTTCCAAGTCTTAGAATCTCTATGAATTTTAGAGCTGCTCGTGCTTACTTATGCTTGTGATTATAATTATGGTAGTTATTGGAGCCGGCTATGTTGTTCTCATGCATACAAATGTGGATATACCTGTTTTGAGTGAGCTGATAGGAAAATCGAAAGGAGGTGCTGAAACGACGACAGCAGGATCATCATAGTATCACACATTTTATTCTCGATTTTATGACAGAAGATCAGTGTTAGTTCAAATGCCCTTAAAACATTAATTGTGAATAAAAGGTTTCGTCGAAATGTACCGATCGATGTGCCGTTTGTTTGTTTTGTAAATTACTTATTTACAAACGATTGTTTGATCGATATAGAGAACTCTAGGTAATGAAAGGAACCGAGAAGGCAGAACGAGCCAAGAAATAGTTTGGAAGACGCCATTGTATTGACGGACCGTTGAAGGTTCGTAGCCGAACATCGACTGGAAGGAGATTGAACCTTAGAAGAGGCCCTACACTGACGAGCTTGCTATTTCCCAGCACCGCTCACTCTGCTCACCACCGCAGTGCATCCTTCTACAGAGGCATGAAGTGGCTATCTAGAATTCCGACTGCATACCAGAGAAAGACAGGACCAAATATGTGCTGGCCCAGCTGAGCACAGCGTGCAAGGTATAGCCTAAACATCGCATAAGAGGAACCGAGTTCAACCGCACTGGAGGGCGCAATTCTTGGATGGAGCATTAATCTGACCCGTGCAAAGAAGAGGGAAGGTTAGAGGTGCACTCAGTGAATTGTGAGGTCAAAGAATTTACTGCTACAGCCTAATGAAGTGTAATGAGTCGCGACAGAGGCGTGTAGAGACAACACAGATCTCTGCTGAAGAAAATATCGAATCAGGAAGGCAGGCAACTCAAGTTAGATGACGACACTTTGCTTTGGTTCCGATTTGAATAGTTTTCACATATTCCCTTAGGTCCTCGAGATTGCGAAGTCGTCTGAACCATTCCTCTGGCGTCGTCGCCCACCGGAACCTTCATCTCAGCCACTCTGATGAGGAATCGACCCGATCATTCCAGCGGGGTAGAAAAACGACTAAAAATGATGGATTAGTTATATTGAAGAACACTATCGAAGAGAAACCCTGCTCGCCCTTGATAGTTGGTCAAATTTTCGCATCGGCATGGGAAGCATACGAGTGAAGGAATCAGCTAAGGGAACATATCAAGGTAGGAAGAAACGGGGTGACTCATGAGTAGACTATTTCATCGTGGTCCTACTGCCGCCTTCTTTATGAGCCAAGATAGTGGGTTCAAAGCACACTGAGATTCTCTGGAAACCTGCGACGACCATTAGCCTGAGAGTATCACTAAACGATCCTATTGCTCTGATAAGCATTTGAACAGAAGTTTCATGTACAGTGAAAGTCACGAATGGACCGCAGACGCTCTCTTACCAGTCAATCTACGCTATCACAAATTTATCAATCTGCCATTTCATCTATTCAAAAACAAAAACTCGGTATAAAAGCTTTTCTATGAAGTTTGGCAGACATTTGTCTAGCAACATCGTTCACAGCTTATGGGTGATGAGTACGAGCGTATCACTCCCAATGTATCTCAGCTACCAGCGCCACCACCCCTATCTCGCCCTGTACAACCAGTTCAACCAATTCAAAATTATCCTCTTCCACCACCTCCACCACCGCTTCAAAACTATCCTTCTCCAATGCGCCAAATGCAGACACCATCTCCAGCCCAAGTGGCGTTCAACCAGCTTTTGGAATCACACCAACCCGGAACGGGAAAAAGATTATCCAAGTGAGTCGATTGATTTGTATGGTTATATAATGAACGACATTCTTCCCGTCTTTTTGACAGGTCTGCAAAGGGAAGGGGATCAACCTCGTCATCGAGAAAAAAACGAGGAAAAGGCATGAGGAAGAAATCTAGACCTATAAGAATATATTCAGATAGTACTAGCGGTTATTTAAGAGAATTACCCTACTCTGTTTACCTAATGCCAGTGAGAAAACAATCGTCAGGCTCTTGTGTGAGTCTTCGTTAACTTCTGATGATAATTCGAGGGAGTGATGGCAACAAGAGTAGGACAAACAAATCAGTCAAGGAAAATAGGACCTATCACCCTTAGATGTTGATCCCAAATAAACTCCACCAACCGGTTAACCTTATCTGTCAGATAGCAGATAAGGTTAAGCGGTTGGGGCGTCTAGTTGGGTTTGCGTTTTCCAGAGTTTGAGAGGAACTTAGCAATTTTGGATGCCCCAGATGTTGAGTTCGTTGTGAGATCCATCTCCTGTGAAGACTCAACATCAGACCGGATGATAATCCATGCTCAAAGGAACCTTCAAACCACAAATTTGGGGAAGGGGGGGGGGAAGGATTGGCCACTCTCCCAAAACTTGTCATTAGAACTTCTTGAGGGACTTCTGATTCGAATTAGCCAACTGCAATTCCAACTGAATCGGATGGAAGTTGTTCATGAGCCGGGTTGGGATCAGCCGCGGTAAGGAGTACAACATAGACTCTGAATGGAGATAATCCCGTGAAAAGCGTGTACATGGGAGCTTGTTCCCGAAAGTTGCTCATCGTCAACTTACTGACGAGTATATGCCGAAAGTGGTAGGTAGGACTCGGATCAGAATCCTTACGACTCTGGCTAGTTCTTCGACTCTCCTAAAAGACATAAAAGAACGAGTAGCTCAGTATTCACCTTTATGATCGTCGTCGTAATTTAACATCCCCTTCGATCCTGCACAAAGCATGGACACGTCCCACTGCTTAATTTCGATATGGCTTTTTCGCAAAGTTCCACAGTAAAGTCAAGCTGGCAAAAACCTCCCTAAACTCGAGGGACGAAAATAAGAGGCGTTTTTGCTTACAGAAATGTTTTCAGAATTGGTCATGTCTATTTACATTGGTCGTAGTACTTGTTATTATTGGTGGAGCTGGTTATATGTATTACCTCTCGACGATTGAATCTCAGATGGACAAAGCAGCCAACGAGACAGATACAGGATCACTGCTATCGGCGTTGGTGAATGATTCTGCCACCCAAGGAGAAGTTACCACCACTGAAGAAATTACTCTTTCGAATTCTCCTGAGGTAACAACAACTCAGCAGGTTGGAGGATCAACCGGAAACGACTACTACTATGGGAATGACTGACATAGTTTTCCTAATACAATGTTAGATTTGATAAAAGACCATAAACTGTTCAAATGCTCTTAAAATGCTTAAATTTGAATAAAGATCTTCGTTGATAATCACTTTGTCACAGAACGAAAATAAGTACTCCCAGACATGAGGGGTAAAGGCCAGCACGAAGTCAATTTCATGAAAACCCCACCTATATATAGAGCATTACCTACTGGTTAGTGTGTCACTTGTTAGGCGTTGTACGGTGCGTAAGTGGGTCTGTAGGTCTGTCCATTCGCAAAGTTTACCACTTTTATGTTAAAAGCAAGGTTAGCGATAAAAGTCTCACAGTTTCCTATATGTAGTATGAGTTCGAGGCTCCCCCTTATGCCATATCTGTCGTTAATAGGTCGAAAAACGTTCTGGATAGGGCACAATAAGGGGCCAGAGAGTGTATCATGTGAATGCCACACCAATCGTGTACGAGTTTCAATGGCTTAGTAGAGGCTGCACTATCTCGAAAGATCCCATTTAGGAAGTTCAAACAACTTGTCATAACCCATGGTAACAGTGGAAGGCAGTTTTGAACAATTTCGGCTTGATGTTGTCATCTCTTTGCGCAATGGGAGCAAGGTAAATCTCGTCCAAATACCCTTATATGCCATCCCTGTCACGGTGATCTCGTACAACCTCCACTTCTACTACTTTTGAAAAACCTCGAAGTAGGCGAATTTCTGCTTTCTTCGCAATCGATTGACTCCCCCACATCAACACTTTTGCTTTTCAACCTGAAAAGGACAGCTCAAAATCATCGTGAAGTGTGCCTCCGAAGGAAGTGGCCTTGAAAGACAACTGGTGAGTTGGTGTGATGCTGGTGATAGCGCTTATAAAAGTCTCAACACTCACTTTAAATCTCTCGTTAAGTATGTCTGTTGGCGTGGATGTGTTTGTTTGTTTATGTTTGTTTGTGTGCAGGTGTGTGTCGGAACTAAGGGGAACTCCTGCCGACTGGGATGTTCAGTGAATTACCTATCGCCTGTGGTAAAGGTCTCTCATTAAGGTATCGACGAGTAAAATGATGTTTGTGGTATCAGTAAAGTAGGATGTCCTACGAGGTTATCATGATTTTACGGCAGCGGATAGGTTCATTTGTTTTCGTACTCATGTGTAAGGTTGTCGCCGATTCTCATCAGGTTAGAAAGCCACTTATGAAGTGGTAGTTTTGCTCCTTTGCAACTTCAAGTACTGTAGTTTTCAGAGAAGCAGAACATATTAGACGATGGGGGACGAGTACGAACAGCTAGGACCGACTGATGATTTGCCTCCGCCGCCACCACCACCATCACCACCTCCACTACAAACGCCGCCACCGCCAAAACCGCCGCAACGGCCGTCGCCACAACCACCGCAACGGCCGTCGCCACAACCACCACCACGCCCTGCTCGGCGTCCAAGTAATGACCATATGGCGGCACGCCCAAGCAATGGCCGTATGCCTTCACGCCCAGCCCCAAAAGGTCGTGTGATACGTTCATGTGATGGCCGTATGTTGCCAGCACCAAGCGGTGATGCCCAACAGATGAAATATGCAGGAAAGAAAATTAAAAGCGACAATGATGCAGAGAAAAATCGGGATGGGTGAGTGAAATGGTTGATATCTTTAAATACTGGTAGCGACTTCCTCACTATCAAGTTCTAAGGCTGCGGATTCCCTGTAAGGTAAAAGGCATAGGCGCTTAGGTATACTTTTTAAGTTGCTCACTTGGGCGGGTAATCTTTCTTCCGGTTGCTTACGTTAACAGTCCGGTCGAGTTGCTCGGAATGCCATCATCTGACTTCAGGTGTGCACCCGGTTCTACGATATTGCTGCGTAAGATACTGATACCCCGACTGCTGTGATTCCATTCTTCGTCTAGACGATGAAGTAATCCAGAGACGTATTCTGAGGGATCGAACTGATATCATTGGCTGGTCAAAGATGACTGACAGTGATATATACACCAGCTCCAAAGTTTCTATGATGGCAGCAGCGTAAGATGGACTTCAGAGAGGTGGCTAACAACTTTGACGTTCTATTCCCGAGGGCTACCATTACTTGAGGGAGAGAGATGACGAAGAGAGTGGCTTTCTTGTGCTACGTTACATAGGCATACTTCGATATCTTTGGCCTCTTGGTGTACCACGCTGCAGCCCATTTCACAGAGTTCAACGGATCCCTGTGAAATGTACCTTTCCACGAGAAGCAGGTGCACTACTGTAGATGCTTCAATATGTCTTCGGCAAGAAGGGAACGGTTGAGTGTGATACGTGATAAAGCTGCTCCCTCCATGTGCTGAGCCTCTGCCATGGTTCTTCAGTCCTTCACTATCAGCCATCGTTGCAATATCATGGAAGGGATGTACGAGATGGTCAAGGAATGTGCGATTTGCTACAAGGACGCTTCATAAAGGTAGAGGTGAAGACGGATGCAACTTGTCGGTGTTACCCATCTCGCAAAAGAGTGTTCAACATATAACCCACGGTGATTGGGGTTTCTAGAGTCGCCAACGAGAGAGTCAAGGTGCCCTGTCGTATACGCCAATGGATCGAAGGCCAGGTTGGCCCGACACGTCATGCAATTCTATGAAAGTCGATGAACCATAACGGCAACCGACTGAGTGACTCGGAAGACAGATAAACATTATCTTTATCAGAACAGCTGGCCGGTCAGGCTATCAACCAAGAGCTCTAATTAGAAGTGGCACACGCCATACTTTTCTTCTTTAGTCTCCTTCCGTTTACGAGGGTCTCCAGAACTATCTTGGGCTACGTCTACGTCTCTACGGGATCCACTGGGATTTTGCTTGGCTTTGAGAAAACGATGATCAGGAAGGTGACGAACGTTGAAGATTATCTCGGAAATAGTGTCCTGAAAGCTTGGATGGTGGAAAGCAGCGGTATAGCTCGTAAGCCCACTTCGCGGCTTATGGGGAGTGAAGGCAACAAATAGTTATGCGAGCTTATGAAGGTACTTCTTCGTTTACGGAAAAACTTCCTCAACTGTTAATAAGAATATGTTCTTCGATCTGCGCTCAGATCACATTGGAACATTTTGATTGCAGTAGTGGTTCGTCAACCTCCTCCAGGGAAAAGCAGAAAAAAAGCAGTAAAAGAAGAAAGACGCCGAGGAAGGGTGGGAGAGGTTCGGAGACACAGACAGGAGAAACAGGGATGGAAGAAGAGGAATCTTCAAAGAGGGTAAGTACCAATTACGCAATGATGGATGGAGGGAAGTTTTGCCAAATGATGCATTACCACCAGAATGGTCGTGGGATTGAATCCTGGTTCGATACTAGCCCAGGGCAACCAAGCCATTGAATTCAACAAAACTGTGTTTCAGAGTTTCTTTACCTGCAACTGCGTGCTGTGTACAGCGGCTGCACTTTTCCTCACATTGTCCCTGTTTATCGCAGTTGTAGCCGCTCTTCATTTCACTGGAGTTATCGACCTTACATGGCTATACCTCCGCATAACTGGCAAAAGTTAGAGACCTGTTGAATGAGATTTTTTTTACAAAAAGAAGTTGTTAGCAGCTACAGTCGAATAATTAACTCAGATGTTATGACATACGAAACGTTAACATCATTACGCTTTCTTTATAGTGTTTGTTCTGTGTTAGTCTAGTGAATTTGATAGTAAATTTTTGATTCTGTTGTGGATAGATTGTTTTTGTTTGTTTATTACCCAACCGACAATAAATCTTCCACGCTCTACTACGCTAGAATACATTTTGATGGTGTGCTGGCTCGGCGGTGTGCGTGTTCGTTAGAAACGACTGGCCGACAGAAAGTGTTCCTGACAACGCAGGATAGACAAGTATATGCTGCAGGCTACTGTCAATCACTAGTATATAACTTTACAGTAAGACAGACCTAACCAGAAAATCTCTGCCACCGCATCAGCCTGCATTTCAAATTCCTACGAAACTACACCATTAGTACACGAAAGCTGTGAAGAAAAGTACTGGTTGGCTTGGAGCTGCTGAATGGGGCTCGATTCTGGCTTGGAGCTGCTGGAGAGGGCTCGGTTCTGATACGAGGTCACGCCGCACACGTTGTCGTCCGTAGGTCAGACCTAACCAGACAACCCTGCAAGCGCTTCCACTTGCATTCCGAATTTCTAAGAGGATCCCACCAAATAGTACACGAAAGCTGTGAAGAAAGTACTGGTTGGCTCAGAGCTGCTCTAGGTCGCTCGATTCTAGCTTGGAGCTGCTGGAAAGTGTTTCTGTCGGCGTCTACACCAGGTCACGACGCACACGTCGCACGCAGTCACGTCACGTCGTCCATCAATGTAGAGAAGATCGCGTTTGAATCAAGAGAGGTTAGGATTCATTTCCGCTCACGTACATTTGACTACAGTATCGAGTTCATCGACACACCGGCCCTACACGTTTATAATTAGCAATCTTCTTCAACTGATCACCCAGCCACATCTTTTCATATTACTCTATATTAACCTGGGAACCAAATCCAACACCCCTCAATCTGATTCCGCTTCAATTCTTCCGTGAGAAGATCTGTAACGATTGTTAATGACGAAGCCTCCAAAATTTTGAAACGCGGCTACCCGCTACGCGGTGTGGCGTGAATGCAANTTAGGGTCCTTATTACCCGTACCAATACATTTTTTGATCTGACAACGCCAGAGATGGCATAACTGGAGCCAACACCCAACAGAGAGACTGGGAAACCATAGATCATGGACTCTGCCTTTTGGTTGTTATCACTTCCTTCTGCCTACCACCAATTTCGCCAACACGTCTCTCTCCCTTATCGTTAGACGTTCTAGTTCAAGAACAAAAAAGTGGTTAACATTTGCTCACCTAATTTGGAACAAAACAGGGTTAGAACGAAGTGTAGGCTACTTAAAGAGGACGATTTATTGCCAGAAAATCAAAAAAGGCATGGATTTAAACATTTTGTATTATCGTAACACCTTAGTTAATAATTCAACAGTAGCTGATAACTCTTTTTTGTAATTGATATCGTTCAATTGTTCTTAGTTTTTGATGGACATCATCTCAATCCCATAGTGAACATTGTGTCACTGATAAATTGGGCAACATCGGCAACACCAGTGAGATGAATGACGATTAAAACTGCCACAAGGATCGATGCTGTGAAAATAATTGCTGCCGCTGAACACAGTAGACAATTGTTCGTCACAAATTTCTGAAATGGAGCAGTTGATTCTCAATCAATAATCCCAATCAATGAGCCCAAATCTGCTCGCAGTCCTTCGAACAAGGCGTTGGACTCGAAATTTACGCGTGTGCGGATTCGACTAAGCATTCTGAACGGGTGTGATATTTCTTGAGCGAACGGCGTGTTGGAGCATATAGTGTAAGGGTGAGATTTGAACTTACTACGGATAGGTACAGTATGCACCTGGGAACCAGTACTGTGTGCGCACTCGCGACCGTGGGAATTCGGGTGTAAAGTATCGCAGGATGACAAATGATCTCAGACAAATGATCGAGACGGTGGGAGTTTAGGAACATCTATAAGACGCAAGAGATTTCTTTACCCTCTTCTCTTCTCCTTCTCCTTCTTCTTCTTTTCCTACCTCTCCTGAGACCTCGGAACCTTTCTTTTTGCTCTTTGGTGCCTTTTTCTTTTTGCTAGAAGATGCACTCGAACCATCACTGAAAGTGATATGTTATCGGTGGAGCTATGAACGACCAAAAANAAAAACGGATCTGTTGTGGAGAAACGTTATAAAGTGAATGAATGGGCACTCCTGCCTCGCAATATTCTGAAGGCCTCCATATCCGCACTTACTCAACGTTCTAAGACTGAACGTTAATGAGGGAAGGTAAAAATTCCCTGAGAGCAGGTCCGGCTTCTACGAGACTACTCGTGGCACAACACTCAAAACCCCAACAGCCTTCCACACTTATGAGGTTATGAAATTCAGTCGTCCTACGCCTTTAATCATCATAGCGCAGTTCATTTAAACTCGCATTTGCCTCTGGCCTGCTTTGATAGATATGATTTTCCGAGGCACTTCGCGAATGGATGAAGCAAAACCATTTGTATGTAAGAACCGGAGCTTTATACGAGTTGAGAAGCTACGAGTATAGTAACCACAGCTCGAAAGCCAACCAAGGTCCGACAACAGAGTGATTTTGAATTTCTACCTTATTCAGGGGCTCGCTCACCAAATTATGAAGTTCCAGCTCGCTGTAAGTTGTTACCTTCATCGTATGAAGGAAAATGGCTCGAGTCTGACGATAAAAGGAGTTCTCACGGCTTGCATTGCATTGTTCATTGCAAAGTTACATCGACTCCTTCGCAAACACCTATTGCTTGCATCTGTATCCTCTGTTCTTTGCTCTCTTCGATAGAGCACGATTCTGGGCGAAGCTACTTTCTCTGGAGCAATCGTGGTGACAACCAAATCCCAAGAGTTGGTTGCAAAAGAGGTGAAGCTCTAACTGTCGTTGTTGAAACTAGACGCTGGTCATGACTCAGTCTGTTACCCATTTCTGCTCATTGTTCGAGGCATTGAGTCATCTGGTGCTCCGTTGAATATTGACTATCTCAAGCTAGAACCTATAGATTCTCCATTCGTTTCTGCCGCCAATCTAAAGTCTCCTTAGTCAGGAATTCCCTTCACATAACCTGTACCATGCCCTCCGTTCGGGACCTCTCTAGAGAAGTCTGATCCCTAGAACGGTGACAGTTCTGGAGCCCGACTGAGGAACCGAGAGTTTCTTTCAGTACCATTCCAACCTAACCGTTATCACAGAACTGCATGACGTGTCAGAACACCCACTCCCCCTCTTTTCCCTCTCCCTGATCTTGGATTACTATCAAAGCAGGCCAGAGGCAAGCGTAACCATAGCTTCCCTGATCACTGTTCGCTGGCGAAGCATGAATCTACAGTGATCCCTCTGCGCCTGTTCGGAGGATGACCAAAGCATGACTCTTTTCGAAGATTACATAGATATGACCGACCACGAGACCGGCACTCAACCTCGTTTTCAGTTGACACTCTAATGGATCCAACGGTGATGGTCATGGATTACAATCCCAACACAATCGAGCTTCGATCCTCTAAAATGTGGAGCGCATCTGCCTTCAATAACTGAGCTTGGAACTTCGTTGAGCTCCATTGATCGATGCTGACTATTCATGTTTGGCTCAAATCTTCTAATAATCTGATCGAGCACTTTTCACTCGCTGTAAGTGTTGCATTAACTCGGGGAGTGCATCGTTTGTTTGAACAATAGAGGAGCTTCCCTTGTTTACAAGGGAAGGCACCCGATCAAGGCGTATCTCACTGTCTTCAGGTGTAATCAGTGCACTGACTAAACTGCACGGGTTAGTGACAATCATAAACAGAGGCAACAGCAACTCAACTCACTCTGCTTTTTTATCTTTTTTCTCTGCTGATTTTGCTGAAGCTCCTGGAGTAGCGGAAGACGGTTTCTTTCCATCTCCAGCAGGAGGTGGTGGAGGTGGGGGTAGCGGAGATGGAGGAGGCGGAGCGTCAGGAGGAGGTAAGTCGCCAATCGGTCCCAACTGTTCATACTCGTCTCCCATTTTCTAATATATTCTTTTCTTCTGAAATTCAGGATGGTTACCGTTAAAGGATGGAAACATGCTTACCCCACTGAGGTACCCTACTAACTTTCCAAAATTGAACAGCTACCTCTTGCATGAGTACGAAACAAATGTTCCCTACTGCTCTCAGATCACCTCATAACATATTTTACAGATAACTGTGAGACATACATACCCATTGATAGCTTTCTGAGAAATCTTCCATCACCGTTAAGAGGTAGTGCGGCGGAATCCTATTTACAATGTATGATTCTGGCCTGGAAGCAATCACCATAAGGCACCGTTTTTCCGGTTAGTCCTTTCGACTGGGAACTAAGGGACAGAAGACTATTGAGAGCAACAGATCACTAGGAGAGCAGTATATTACTCATCTCTTTCACTTTTTGATGTGGACCGCACCTGAGGGTTCACCGGGAGGGAGTCTTTCAGTTTCAGGGCAGATCTTGCAGTTCGAAACAAGTTCCGATCAAGTTCTGATCGAGTAACCACACAATTCAAAATAAAAGAGCTCTATACAACCAGGAAACCCGTTGCATCCCCAAAACAACAAAAAAATTTTGAGAAAAATTCCCACAAATAATGTCTTCCAAAAAANNNAAAAAAGAAGCAAATAGAAGCTCGTTTCTCCTTCTTTCTAGACTATTAGAAAGGGATACAGGGAAAAACGTCCCTCAAAACGCTCTCAGACTAGCTCAACGCAATAAACTCCGCTTTTCTGGAATGAGTAATTATCTGTCACTGGGAGCTCTCCCTCACCTTTGTGTTGCTATGTTCGACTGTACAGTCAATAGTCTCCTCGAATTAAGGTAAAAATGGGTTACCTCAGCCTCTCAAAGTGATTTCTTTTCTTTCCACACTATCTTTCAGAGTGGTGCATGAGGTTTCATCAAAGGCACACCGAACTTGACTTCGAACTAGGGCCGTTGCAATCTCAACGGCGCGTCATCACTTTGCGCCACAGCTTCGCTGGTAGCGCCAGGTATTCAACCCCTTCATGGATCCCGTTCAACGTAAAGGATATATAGAGTGCTGTATCTATGCAACGTCTTTCAAAAAGAGCATTTCACCTCAAATACTGAGCTAAAACCAGCAATTAACTTATAGCAATCGGGGTGATCTCATAAATACTCCGTAGTTATGAGCTAAGTGAATGTATGTGCATGTGCATGTGCATGTGGATGTGTGTGTGTCTGGGTGTATGTATGTATGGTATGTATGTATGTATGTATGTATGTATGTATGTATGTATGTATGTATGTATGTATGTATGTATGGTATGTATGTATGTATGTATGTATGTATGTATGGTATGTATGTATGTATGTATGTATGTATGTATGGTATGTATGTATGTATGTATGTATGTATGTATGGTATGTATGTATGTATGTATGTATGTATGTATGGTATGTATGTATGTATGTATGTATGTATGTATGGTATGTATGTATGTATGTATGTATGTATGTATGTATGTATGTATGTATGTATGTATGTATGTATGTATGTATGTATGTATGTATGTATGTGTGTGTTGATACAGTACTTGAAGATTAGCTAAGAAAAGCAACAAGGAAGGGCTCAGACGCAGCAAAGACACGATTCGCAGCGATTTATGAATCGCCCCATCATGAGTTGCTTTGAAAGCACACAGAAGTATGAGCTCTGCAGTAGAGCATTCAGTAGGAAGGACTAATTTGGTTAAGTTAGTGTCTTATGGTTAGTAGTTACTCACGTTCAACCGAACCCAAGATCTTTATATCAGGAAGTTTGATGGTATCGAAGATTTCATTCATCAGACTGGTGAAGTGAGTTGCATTTCGTAGTTGCATTAGCCACTGTTCAGTCGTCACTGCTAAGTGATTGACACCTCAAGATCGTTTTGCTGACTCTCATCTACCGAGGATAAGTCAGATCGAAAGGCTAGTGCATGGGTGACGAATACGAGCAACTCGGACCGGCAGCAGGAGGTGCCCTTCCACCTCCTCCGCCTGGTGCACCTCCTCCTCCACCTCCGCCACCACCACCACCTCCGCCACCTCCCCCACCACCACCACCGCCACCACCACTGCAGCTGCCACAACTTCGTGGAGGCACATTGCCGAAAGAGTCATCAGAAGAAGATAAGAAGTAGGTTGCTTCAGTCATCAGAAAAAGAATGCAAAAAATGAGATGCGTCAGCACCTGAGAGTCCAACAGAGCTCTACAATGTCTGTTGGAAAGTATAGCCTTAGAAGTCAGTTTCAGAAAATCTGAAGCAACAAAGAAGAGCAAAAAGTCTACTAAAAAGGACAAGAAGGGGAAAAGAAGATCCCCGTCACCACCGGGGGAATCCGCCGCCGCCGAAGATGCAGCTCAAGGAGATGTAAGTTGATTATCAAGAGTTTCGACCTAAGTTTTCAAACTTGCAGAGGAACTGGGAACCTGCACACGAATTCCCATAAGACTGTATTCAATTGATTCTAATGGGTTGCTCCCAAACAGCTGCCAGATCGAACATGATGCAGCCAGCTCTATCCAACTCTATCCATTTCCATATCAGCACAACGCTATCCTTGTTATCACTTTTCTTATCTTGTTGACGTAGCTGTATCTCCAAAACTTCTTCAAAAGTTGTGCTTGAACCATCAGTTCTACTTCGAGCGGTATCCACGGCGGCTATCCTCCACCGCAGTCTCTTCCACCGCTCAACCTCTGCTTCTAGCGGAAGGAAATATTGATTTTGCGCGTCTACGGTTGACATTTCTCGCGTCCTGACCTAGTTGTGCACACCCATCAACTATGGTATAAAGCAGAAAGTCTTTGGGCGTCTACCCCAGTCTCGTCAGAGGGATGGGCCCCACATTCGGCTCACATTCAGAATTTATGTGGCCTATACCCGACGACTTGAGGTGGCCAGCCTGTGAACAAGTCAGTGCTTTTATCCTCCCAAACGAGTCCGGTACCAATTAACCCAAAGGGATGGAAGGCTCGCTTGGCCTAGGAGAATATCAACCCGGGATTCGAAGCCGTGACCATGCTTGAGTGATAGCGCGCCACTTGCCACTACACCACCTCTCCCCTAAAATTTTGTGTAGCAAATGATATCAAAATGAGAACAAAACAGGTTGATAATACCATTTTTTGATAATATGAGCTCATTTCAGTCGACGACCTCTTGCTTTTGGGCACTGATGGTTTTTATCGTCTTAATTTCACTAATAGGTGTTGTTGTTGTACTTCACTTAATCGATGTTATTGCGTGGTTCCCATTTATAAAGAATTTGTTGAAGCCAAAGAAATCATCAAATTTACCAGAAGCTGAATCTTAGTAATATCGTTATAATCTGTTTGACGTATTGTATTATTTTGTACTGTAATATTCATGCTGTTTTCGTGCTTTTCTTTTTAGGAAGTTTCCGTATTACATATGTACTGTACGTCACAAACGTATTGGGAACAGTCAATAAAGCCTTCGATGTTTTGAAACTGTTTTGTGAGCTCAACGGGTCGAAAGCACCATTCAAAGTCTACAAGGGCTATAAGGATAAAAAGGCAATCCCGTCTGAGGGATGCGCTCATGCATTCGAGTTCTACTCAGAATCGTAGTGGCGTAATGAAGGCGTAAGTGGCCTGTACAGTAAGTTGTGGGGCCGGCCGATGTACAAGTCAGTGCCTTTATCCTCGGTACGACGGTACCAATTATCCGACCCTGGAAGGAGGGAAGGCTCGGTGGGTCAAGGCGGAAACCGATCCAGGATTTGAACCCGTGACCGTGCCTGCGAGATAGTGTGCCACTTGCCACTACACCTTCCATCTTTACATGGTGCGGCGATCCTGTGCTTTTTTGGATAAGTTTACAAATAACCAAGAAGAAATGAGTTTAATTCAGTGTAATAAAGTGGGTGGGTGGTGCAGTAGCAAATAGCACACTATCACACGTATTGCCCAAGGGTCGAATCCCGAATCGATAAGCCTTCCATCCATACGGGATTGGTCAAATGATCCTAGGCTGGTCTGGTAGGATACAAGCACTGATTTCTACATTGGCTGACCACCTCAAGTCATTGTATGGGTCACCATAATAATTGCGCCACTACTATTCTGAATGTAAGTCAAAGGCGGGGCACATTCCAGGAAAGATTTGATCAAACTTTCAAACGTTGATGGAATGAAGTAACAAAAGTAAACAAAGCAATCGAATGGTTATTAGGATAGGGAACGGTGACTATGCTACTGCCAAAGGTATCTCTCCTCTTCTCTCACTTCACGCGTGAAGGCTGATAGTTGTAGTCTTCCTTTCTGGCCATAGAACAGCTTCGACTATGAACCGTCGTTTTGTTGTGGATCTCCTATAACCTAACCGAAAGACACGTAACATAGGATCAAAACGTCTGGAAGACGCTTGTTACGGTGTAGAACTAGTTGTGGGACTACTACAGTGTGCACTTCATCTCCAGGATAAGGTCTAGATCATGGAGAAGTTTGCTTTGCGAGCCTATGTGAGGCTAAGAAACAGTTCTGAGCCAGGAAATTGGAGTTCACATGCCTAGGTTTGTGGTGTGGGGAGCACGAGCGTGGGTTGAATGCTGACCTCATGTGAAGAGAAATTGGCCAACAGGATAATTTTCCATAGGGAGAGCATAGGCATAGCATGAACACGCAAAGGTCCTTGAAACTAGATATTCACCGTTTGGATAACACGAGAGTGGGCGATATGAGCACGGTGCGTGGAATTCATGGGTTGTGCAGCATGTATAGGGAAGCTTGTGACTTCTGAACCTAGTAATCCTACTGGAAACCTCTAATCTGAGTTATGTTACAAAGCTGGAAATGCATAATTACTGTGGCCATGATGACCTAAAGGGTCATGCTGATAGTTCATGCAGTACGTGGCTTTGTTCAAAATTTCGTACGAGATGGTGCACCTTTCCTACTAATTGACTGCGGCTTGTCAGTGGAGCGCGAAATTCCACGCACACTCTCGGTTAATGCAAGCTGTCCCAGTTGCGATGATGTCCATCGGCTCCTGTCGCTCTTCAGTTCCTTTTTTGAACTTTTTGCTTTCAATGTATGGGTAGGGAGAGGTCAGCTGTGCTTAATAAGCTTACCGCTCCTTCTTGAACACACTGCATATAGCACTTTGTCGATTGTTTATAGATACCATGAAGGGAATACCTCATCTACGAGTGAGTCTCATTCTGTACTTTATTCATCTGCGAAGACGGCGTCCAATTCTGCAACGTGAGAAGTTCACCAATGTTCCGTGTCTTTTTTTGAGGTTACCACGTCACTCAGTGCAAATTCAAAATTTCATCACAGACATATACCTCTTCTTGCTCCCAGATGGTCAGTGTTAGTGACAGTCTCAAGAACTTGCACATTCCACAACAAGACTGACCTGGCACCGTCTTCTTCACCCTGTGACCCACCCATTCAAAGCTTTTCTGATGGAAAGCATAACATTCCATTAAAAATGCCCTCGATGTCCTCATACACCTCCCATGCGACAATCCTTCCTACTGGCGTGTTTGAGAAAGCGATTACAAACATCACGTTTACAGCCACCTCAACAGCTTGCTTGAGCATAGCCGTTGACACCAAAATTCCGTTGCATAGCTTCCAGAAGAACATCACTAACTAAGGACGTAGGTAATGGCCTAAACACAACATACAGTTTCTCAGACAATACTTGCATCATACCCAGAACAGAGGGCTACAGGTGATAAGAACGTCCCTCACAGCCCACAATGATTCGTTCCCCTTGTTGTTATCAAAGCCTATCACAATGCTTGAACTCTCTCCCTATCACCTACTCATTCTTCCAGCGTCATGATATTTTGCACTGACCAGTTTTGAGCCACTATGGCTTATCCCCTACGTCCACGATTCTGCTTCCACGCCCATAGAGCATTCCCCACTGGCTCCCATGCCGTTTCGGGAAACGAGCCAACATAGCT